TTTGATGATCATCTAAATTTATTTTTTTGTATCATTGACACTTATAAATTTACAGGTGATCATGTATTGTGTTACATGATATTTCTGGAAAATTTAAGGGTAGTTATATAATAATTTTAGACGATCTCAGGTGGTCAGATACTTATGACTGCTACTGTATATCAAGAGCAATTAGTTTGTAAAAAAGATAGCTCCTTTGTTTAATAATATGATTTTGACCTTATATAATAAATACTTTTTAGAAATGTTAAAGTAGAAATACTGTTATTTTTTTGGTAAAATAATTTAAAGTTGAGGGTGTATATGGGTTTTATTTTATTTTAAAAAAATTATTATTTAATAATTGTAGTTTATTATTGTCTAAAAAAAAATTTAATTATTATTCTTTTTAATTAATCAAATATTATTTCTTACTTATAATACAGGTTTATGTAATAATACTTTTTATACTATCATGTGTATTTGTATTTACTCTTATTTTATTATGTAAATTTTCAATAAAGTAATCATTAAAATTTACAAGATATAATTTTAATGCTTCTGCTATTAGATATTTATTATTTTTCTAATAAAAATAATTAGATAAAAATGCTAATAGTACCTTATTATAATTTTTCTTTTTCATTTTAATGCAAATGTTTAAAGGCAAAATATTGTTTCAATATATTCTTCAAATAATTTAGATATATAAAGTAGTTCAAGAATTAGAATAAAATTATATATATATAAAGGAATAACAGATTGATTACCTTATAAATAAAGGTGTGTAATTATCATACATATGAAAGTTGACTAAGCCAATCTGCAATAATTGGTATAATATTTAATAAATATTTTTTCAATGAAGGAATATTAGCAAAGGTTTGCATAGCTTTGAGATAATCTACAAGTAAATATAAATTCATATTTTGAAAAGATATTATATAAACTCCTTTTATAGATCATTCTTTTCTTTCTTAGATTGCATCATTATATATATGAATGATGAGTTAATCAATATAGTTAAATTGATTTTGATTTATTAATTTTTATGCAATCCACTGATTTTTTTTTAATATTATAACTTGTATCAAAAATTCCAATATAATATGTTTCTAAATACCAATAAAGATTAAAAGTATCAACATTTTTAGGATTTTGAATTGATATATTTTAATAAATTATTGGAATTAGTGCACAATTATTAACTAATTTTAAAAGACAAGTTGCAAAATGTTTATCATTAGTAGTAATAGAAATAACAGGTTGTTGCATATAATAAATTGCATAGTAATCATCAATATTAAATATATAAAGATTATTATTCTATATTATATAGATATATAAAATATACTTTTGTGTTAATTTACTTTTTTTTATTAAAAATCAAAGATTTTATTTAATTTTTAATTAAATTACATAATATAAATAAATTAAATTAATATTTGTCACGCATTGGATTTTTTTTACATAAATTGTAAAATATTCATCTATTTTTTAGGATGATTTGTTAAAATTTGTTACCTGTAACTATCAACTGTTTTAGCATATATGCTAAGACATTGATGATAATGTTTCAATACCTACTCTTAAAGTTCCATATCCTTTTAAAAAATCCAATTTCAAGTTTTAAATTATTAACAAATTTATTACCCAACCCAGCAAGAAGGTAACAAAATCCAACAGCTGTTTTCTTTCCATTTTCTTTTGGGATTTAATGCATCTACAAATTCTTTAATAAATCCTTGTAAACACGGTTCTTGATTTTCAATCAAAGCACAAAAACTTTCTGGATCTAATTCTAAAGGAAGGTTTTGCTTTCTTTGCATATTATAGAGAAGTTTAGTTAAAAGCTTTAATTGTTCTCCAAAAATAAAATCTAATAAAATATTAATAAAATAAATATATACTTAGAATAATACTTTTGTAATAAAAGGAATTCTGAATATTTATTTCGGTCGGGTTCAACAATATTGTTGTAATGCTTTTGACAAAGTTGGTCACCAACTTTTAAATAGTTATATATATTAAATGTTCCTTTTGTTTTAGCTTTTTCATATGCAAGCTTAGTAAAAGTACGAAATTTGACAACAATTTTATTACAATTATTTATTTCACAAGGTCCACAATTTGGTAAACGCGTCATTTTTTAAAAATTTCGCGTTACATTTAAAAAAAGAAGTCACGTGATTTTATAATTTTGGTGATGATCAGCAACAAATTTCACCACACAGTAAATTTTTACAAAAATTAAGGCGATGTTTAACAGCCAATCATACAAATCTCCCTCATGCTATCGTGGAGTCTTTGGCAACAACCGAAGAGAATTCTATGGTTACGGAAGAGGATATTGAGGACCATATAATGGAACAAATCAATATATTCAGTCTATTCAACCTCAAATTCATAACTCTTAGGCTAGTTTAGAGGAAACTTGAGAATTTTTAGAGAATTAAATTTTTTTGTTCAGATTCAAATTTTTTATAACAATAAAAAAATTTAAAATCTATTTTAAACTAAAAAGTGGATTACAACAAATTCAATTTTACTATTCTATCTGTAGAATCACATGATTTCCGAGTTCGTGTTTGTTCAATTTGCGGTGTATTTATAAAAAATGGAAATATAAATCAGTATTCTGTGTTAATTGCATACATTCTTGAAATTTTAATTATATATATAAATCCAAGAAATATGACCTTGAATATTTATGATACATTTATAACTGGACGATTGGTAGTTATTTTTAATCAGGTAAATTCAAATTGAACATAAATTGTCTGATGCAAGTATTCAATTATTGTTACATTTATTAAGATCCATGCGTCTTTGCTAGTATTAATAAATTCGTTATTACAATAATAATATATCAAACTCAATGCTTTTTATGTCCATCAAAATTAATTCAAGCATGTTTAATTAGGGATGGGACGGTTCTCCTTCGGGTTCTGCTAGACTAGGAGCGTCACGTTAAATTTATACAAATAGAGCATGTGAAGTTGATCAATTAAAAAAATATTTTGACTGTTGCTAAACAAATTCATTATTTAACTTGATGAAGATACGACTCTTATGAGCCGTCCGGAGTCTGCTCCGGCTAGATTTTTAAAATTGTTTGTAACTCTCATAATTCAGAATATGCTGAATTTAGAATCGGTTTCAGAAACCTACTCTTTTTGAACCCATCCCTATGTGTAATTGACTTTAATTAATACTAAATTTTAACAGATAATGAATTTTTTATAATTAGCGATCTTTGTATTTCAGATAAGTATCAATACAACTAAGTTTCAATTGCATCGAATTTCAAATATTGATTCAAAATTAAATGCGAGTAAATAGACTTTAGACTTGTAAAAATGCATTCATAAGATTAGGAGAATGCACAAAATCCTATTCATACGTGTTACTCCAATATGTGTTTTATATTTACTTAATAAAGGAAAATTTTTCGTTAAAAATCTATTTGACACTATTACTGTATATATATCAGATGGCAAAAGCTAATTTTCAATGTAGATAATATTTACATTAATTATCGTTAATTCAAAGAATGGCGCAGTGGATTGTTTCATTGCACGTACAGTTGATCAAAAATACTGTACTAGGAATGACAGGGCGTAAAACCATGTCGTGCAACATTACAAATTGTTTTATTTATTTCATTAAAAACAATCCCTTTACAAGAAAAATTAAAATATAATGGCTGATGATAATTTTTTATTGGAATTATCGCAAAATTTAATTGAAAGTTTAGAGGACAATGAATTTTATGATGTTACAATTGAAGTTGGAAATGATCCATATGTAAAAGTATTTCGTGCCCACATGATGATGTTATATTACCGTTCTCCTTATTTGCGAAGAGTTTTGTCCACTAATAAAAAGAGAAACGATGAAACTTTGGTTCATATTAAATTGCCAAATATTTTACCTGAAAGTTTTCATGTAATCTTGAGGTAATTTAAATTAATAATAAAATCTTTTTTTTTGGAAACAATTTCTTAGATTATTACAAATAAAATTTTTAATTTTTTTTTTATAGGCATATTTATGGCGCAAATCTTTCTATGAAGGAATATGAAACTGCAGATATTATTAATATCTTGGTTGCCGCCGGTGAATTAAGTCTTCAAGGATTAGTTACCCATATTCAATCATTTTTAATTCAAAATAAAGTAAATTGGGTAGGAAAACATTTTAGCTTGATATATCAAACAAGTTTTAAATATGATTCTTTCTTGGAGCTTCAAGAATTTTGTACCAATATAATATCTAAAGATCCAGAAAAAGTTTTTAAGTCCGTTGATTTTGCTTCAATTCCAGAAAAATCTTTGGTTGCTATTATTCAAAATGAGAAACTTACAATGAGTGATGTTCAAGTTTGGGAGTATGTTCTCAAATGGGGACTAGCTCAAAATCCAGATCTTTCTTCAGATCCTTCTAGCTATTCGAAAGATGATTTCAATTCTTTAAAGAATACCTTACAAAAATCTATTCCATTTATCAGATTTTCTAATTTAAGTTCTAGGGAATTTTTGAATAAAGTTTTACCATACAAGAAAGCATTACCAAAAGAACTATATGTAGATTTAGTTAAATATTTCTTGGACAATGATCATAGGCCAAGTGATAAATTTAAAGCAACTGAGAGGAAGGATATTGAAAGGAATAATGAAGTTGGGATGGAAATAATGGTGGAGATATGAAGGTGCCTAAAGAGTTCTCAAGTTATATTAACGAATCACGAAATTCAGTAGAAATAGGAACGGAAACAACTTCGTATAAAAAACTTAATGATTTTAAAAGTTCAAATTTATTAGGCAATGATTTTTGGGTAAGAGAGATATTTAAAGCGCCTATGGGGAAGGATATTGAAAGGAATAATGAAGTTGGGATGGACATTAATAGTTCAAATGAGGTGTATATGCCTAAGAGGGTGCCTATGACGGATGAGTCTTTTAATTCGTGGTCAAATTTAGTAGAAATGGGAAAGAAAACAACTTTGTATAAAGGTAAACAAAAAAAACAAAAACCAAAATCTTAGTGGTTCAAAAAACAACAACATAAATTCTTCTACGATAAAAATTTATATAGGCTAGTTGTTGAATTTCATTATAACAAAATATTATTCAGATTCTAATTTTTATATACAAAAAAAATTTTAAAATCTAAAATAAACTAAAACTAAATTTTACTATTCTATCTACTGTATATGAAAAACTTTTATAATGTTTTTTTTTTTTTTTTAAGATTATTCAAAAACGTTAGTCATTTAATAATGGGGAGATTTATAATCGCATCGCATTTTCAAATATTGAGATCAAAAGTTTATATTTATATTAAAAAGTAAAGCAGTAGTAATATTAATAATCACGTGCGGGAATGCTTGTGATCGTTATAATCAATTAGTAAAAATTTAAAAATTTAAATTTCCAGTTCATATGCAAACCTTACTTTTCACACAGTGATTTTGTTTTTATGACTATACAATCTTTTCATTATTTACTAACAACAAGAAGTAATTTATCCGTAGTAAGGTTTCCGGGTAAAAACTCGAATGTTAACCCCGTCGTCGAAACCGTCGAAAACCATCGAAATTATAGTTGCTGCCCATACCTCATACTATAGAATCCCATCCCATCCCAAATCCCATACTATATTTAAAATCCCATATCCCAAATCCCATTTAATTTATAATATATTTTTAAGTATATTTTAATCAATATCTCACTTACAAAAATAAAATAATAATCATTTGAATCTGCTCATAAAGACGAAGCTAATGAACTAAATTATTATCATTAATTATGATGATATTGTTTGTTAAAGTTTTAGTTTAAGGAATGGGATTTGGGATGGGATGGGATTGGGACTTTATCCCATACCCATATAGTATGGGTAACAAGATAATCGAAATCGAAAGATTTAGGCTTTTGCCAAAATAGAAATTGGATTTTAATGTGAAGTACTATGATCAATAGTATTCCGAAGCTGTAATATTTCGACCGTAATATACGGAACAATAGGACCTACGGAGCACTTTAAGTAATCAAAAAATTTATTAACAAATTTCTTATCAATGGAAACTCTTAGTATTATTAGAGCTTTTAGAGTTATTATAGAATATAATTTGACATTATGCTTCAATATATTTTTGTTAAATTGAACTTCTCTATCCCTTTTTGTTTTGATACATCTCTTTTATTATAAACGTTTCATTTAGCAATCGATACTCTGTTGCTCAGGTCATTCATCCAATATGTAATAAAAATTAACTGATAAAACGAATCGTATTTGCAAGCATTAATAACTCTTTTTATTAGTAATTTTTAAAAAAAAAAAAATTCGTTTTAATTTTTAAAAATTGATTTTACCAAATTTTTTTTAAAACAAATAATAAATATTATAGAACTACGATTATTATTATTATTAACCGAAAGATACAGTAAATGACGTTCGAATTTAATTTCAGAGTAATTTATAATTAAATTACTTAATTAAGGTTGCTACATAATCTAAAGTTACAGGAAATCTTAAAGATTTTCCAAACGAAATTTTGTAAAGCAGTGTGAATTTAATTAGCAAAGCTGATGGTAAAATACAAAGACAAGTCTTAATTCGTGAATACAGATATAGAAACCTAATTAACTATTTTTTTATAGGGTTTAATTTAAAAAATTGCTTATCTACTAATGTTATATCCAAATCAACTTCAATTCTACAAGTCCCTTAGGAACTTGACCACGATGTATTTGTCTGACATTTTTCCATGACCCTTTTTTTCAAAATAGTATGTATTATAGTCCGCTTTTGGTCTTTTTAAAGTCGGAGTCAAATTTCTTTTTTACCTAATAGTATATACTTTTAATCCAACGATCATTTTAAAAAAAAAAAAATTCTGAAGTGGAACTTTGAGGTGCTTGTTCTAGACGTTGATAATAATTTTTCTCTGATATAAATTTTACGTAAATTTCCAAAGATGATTCGGTAATATCAATATACCTTATTTTGACATCCTAGTAACGGTTGATACTTTAGCGAATGAGCGATCCAATTATTTATATTCTCCGCTTGTTAGAGTGAGATACCGGTTAAATATTAAAATCATTTAGATTATATGGGTAATCAAGGGTGATTCGTTAAAACAATTTTTTTAAAAAACATAATTAATAAGAAAGGAACCAAAGAAAAAGATTTTTATTTTGGGAATTCCGACACCTTGAGCGCAAATAACAAGATAACGAAACAAGAAACCCGTTGTAAATTTGCACTTAACCATATTTATTTATTTTCTTTGTTATTTTTTAATTTATTAGCATTTAGTATTGATTTAATAAAACGGAATTTCAGAAGTGTGTGTATTATTAAATAATGTTTCCATCATAATTGTTAATTATAAACCTTCAGATACAGTTGCTACATTTTAATTGCATTACTTATTAATTAATATAAACGCAAAGACCATTAACAGTACAGATTATGAGTTTTATATTTTAAAAAACAAAAACAACACTCAGATTGAATTTATAAAGTAGTTCAATATTGTATAGTAAAGAATTATTAAATATTGCAAAAACTTATTATCAGCAATTTTAGTATTTGGAACTTTGGATTGATTTAAATTTTTTATTTCCTAATATTTTTATCTATTTAAAACATTACATTTTCAATTAATTATTCAGATTCAGATCAAAGATTTATATGCAGAGGGTAGACCAAAAGTTTTAGATCACTTACGAAGCTTAAGATCTTAACATTTTAATTTAATTAAGTTCCGATATCATTAAAAATTTAGTCACAAATTATTACGTGTCGATGGCAGATTTTTTTGACTGTATCATATGACTTATTTACTAAATACTGTATATACTGCGCTCTTCATAATAATGCGGGCGTAAATCATGATTATTTTCAAAGAAATTTTCTCATTAAAAAAAAAATTCCTTATGAGGTAATCAAATTTTAATGGCTGATAATAAGTTTTTATTGGAATTATCGCAAAATTTACTCGAAAGTTTAGAGGATAATGAATTCTACGATGCGATGTTACAATCCAATCGAATGATTTTAACATAGCGGGCTTAAGCCTGATTGGTTGATTTTCAAAATGATCGTCACATATTAAATTCACGGGGACCGACCGTTTTGACCGACTTTGATCAATTTGTAAATTCACTCATATATTTTTTATTTAAACATATGATTTAAAAAATTTTAAAGATCCGCGATAATGCTTCGCCACTAAATATGAGAAAATTTATGAGCATATAAGATATAAATGTTTATATAAGAAGCCTCATAGAATAAGAAAGCTTTAAAAAAAAAAAAATTGTCATGTTATCGTGATAGTCTACAGGTCGGTCGATCAGAGGTCCATTACTTGCAAACTTTATGAAAAATTTCAGGATATTAAAAAAATTTATTTTACATTAAAAGCCATATTTATTATTTAATATACATAATAACGATAAGCTAAGTATAAAAAATTTTTTTTACAAACATTGTAAAATTTATGTGGATCTGAAATATAAGATCACTAACGAAAAATTCATCGCGTGCAAATGATTCAAATTTGATAGATAAAAGAGTTAGATACTTGGTAATAAATATTAAGACATTAAATTTGAGAGCCCGACACTTGACCTGTCTAAATATATAAGAGTTATTAATATTTATTTGCCAATGTAAACTAGTTATAAACAAATGATATTAAAACGTAGAAATGAGAAAAATTACTTTGTTGAGTTGATAGCTTAAATCAATCCTTAAATTTTCTATCAATTAAAAATTTAAAAGCAAATCTTATATCAATAATATCATGAATCTTATTCATAAGAAAGAAACTTACCAGAACATTCTTCCCCAAGAGTATCAGAATTATTATTTTCTAGCAAATTTTTAAAATCTAAACGTTTACTTGTATAATCTTGATGTGTTGTATATGAAATTTCAGAAGAAAACTGTTTATTAATTTTATCAGTTTCTTGAAATTGTTTATAAATTAATGAATTTTTATCTTCATGGTCCTTTTCTAATTTTTTAAATTTACCGTATAATTCATTTGCTTTAGGACGCTTTGAAGGATCTTCATCCCAACACTTTTCGATAATTTCTAAAATTTGTTGAGGCACTTCATAATTAGATTCTGGTCTCAACCCATCACAGATTTGTATATACAAAGGAAAGTCATGGGGCACATCGTAATGAGGACGAAGTCCAGTCATTACTTCGTATGCTACAATTCCAAATGCATAAATGTCACTAGCTTGAGAATACGGCTTTCCTCTTAAAATTTCAGGAGCTATATACGGCAACACTCCATATAATTCCCCGTCATTTGGCTGATTTACTGGTCGACACAATCCTAAATCAGCAATTGAAATTTTTTTGTTTCCGAGGCTTAAAATATTACCACAATGAAAATCACAGTGAATGTAACTTTTATTATGAATTTCTTCAAGACCAAATGCAATGCGACGTAAAATTTTTAATTTATTCAACCAATCCATGGGCTTGCATTTATTCAGATATTGTCTTAAATTGCCATTTTCTGCATATTCCATTACTATCGCAAAGTTATTTGTTTCTGGATCTTTGGTAATGCCATACAGTTGAATGACGCGACCTGAATCATTCATTTCAATATGTGACTTGATCTGAAAAAGATTATTCATAACAGTTAATATGGTATGATAAAAGATTTTCTATTGAGTCTTATGAGAAAATTATCTTACTTCGCTTAAAAATTCATCTGTAATATCTTGCGAATCGCGCAAAAATTTTAAAGCAACAGCTTCATTGGGGTATCTTTCCCATTGATTTTTTATAGTATCCCATTTGTCTATAAATCCATCTTTCCATTTTGCTTGAAAGGTCTCTCCAAATCCTCCTTTTGCCAAACGAGAAATATCTTCTAGTCTATCATATTCGATCCATTCTATTACCTCTTTATGGTTCTTTGCTTTGCGCTGCGTTTTTTTAATAAGATGATCGATTTTGTCATTTCCACTAGTCCAATTTTCATTTCGTTGAAAAATTTTAGCGATACATGTTTGACACCAATCATAATCGGTATTAGACTTATTACACTCTTCGCAATGCCCTTTCATGAACATTTCTTCCATATTGAATAATTTTTTTTTTTTTTTTTTGCACCAAGTAGAATATGATAAAAGGTAAAAATTAAAGTCAAAAAAAGGGGTTAAATATTACTTTATATCGGAGGATGTCATCCGTTTTGATTGAAGTAACGCAAAGAAAATCTTTGGTCCCATGAATTTTGTCGATGTGGTACATGTTTTATGTTTTATCAACAATTTACCAAATACAGTAAAAGATAACAACATTCTTGTCAAGATCTTCCGAACTTGAATGCTGCTCTTTAAGTTTAATTAGTAATTTAATTATTTAGATTACGATTTAGATTGATTGTAATGTGATAAATCGAACATTCTGATGAATACAACTGCGCACGATACCTTTTTTATTTTTTGTTTTTTTTTAGATTTTTATGGAAATCAAACATGATCTGTATATATTAACAGGCAAGTTGGAATACTCGTGTAACGAAGAAAATTATGGATTTATTTGAAACACCCAAAAATTAAAGTTTTCACATCACAATATAAAAATCGTCTGAAAATTATTGAGGTTTTCAAAACTTTATGACAGAGCTTTCCAAATATGATACGTGAAGAATAGTATGTGAGTTAAAGATTGCAGCTTGCCAAACTTAATCGAGATCAAATATAACATTATCTCTCGCGTACGATCTCGACATTTGCTAAGGAAAATTATGTAAGGTTATTAATTTTTCTATAGATATGCTGGCCTTAATTATAGGTCAGTATTAAATTCAGAATTAATTGCGTTGAACACATTTTAATAAAATAATCGATGGGTTTATAATATCTGGATCAATATAACATTGTCATTGTAGAATGATCTTCGTCACGCGTTTATAAAGAGCTTGTTGATTGTAATAAAGTACATCATTAAAATGATTTTCAGGAAAATCTTAAACTGTACAATAAATAATAAATAAATAAATATTTGGAAAAATCCGATAACGAATAAATTCAATCTAATGAGTTAATAGTTGATATTATTCGTTTTACAAAATTGAATTGCTCCTTCATGTTTTCTATTGGCAGCCTTAATCAAATAATAATTACCCAACTCTTTTTGACCTTGAGAGAAATAATAAGTAGAAACACTAAACATGGCCACAACATTATCATTTTTTGCCGCTTTGAGAAGATATTTTACCGCCTCTTTAATGTTCTTTTTAACACCCTTTCCGTTCATGACCATTGTCGCGTAACGAAGTTGTGCATCAGGAAAATCCTCACCATAATCTGCGGCTTCCTTAAAAAGTTCAACGGCTATCGCATCTTTTTCTTTTTGGGAACAGGTAAGGTCAGACCAACCTTTTGAAATGTAATAGGCTTTATAATATTTTGCTTTTGGATTATCCAAGTTGGCATAAGCATCGAAACATTTGTACAATGTCTCCTTTTTCATATTGTTCTTTAGATGCTCCTCAACCGCCTTGTCAATTGACAAATAATTGAATGAACTCCAATCAATCATTTCTGTACCAGACATTCTACGTACAGGAATTGGTTTACGACCATTCGAATGACCATTTTTATAGACGTCCTGAAGATCTATCAACATTTTTGAGAACATGGGTCGAAGACCCGGATTCGGATCAACAGCATCATGAACGAGATTTTGATATTTATCCGGAATATCAGGGTTAGTAAAAGGTTCTCGATACCCATCTAGTACATTTTTGGAAATTTCCATAAAGTCATCAAATTGTTCGTATGGTATCTTACATTCCGCAATTTCCCAAAGAAGAATACCAAAACTGTAGACTTCACATTTGGTGTCATATTTTTGTTTCTCATCCACATCCTCTCCCGCCAATTCTCTCCTTATCATTTCAGGAGAACTATACCGAGCACAATCTCTATCTACTGCTAGGTTACCAGAAGCCGCGTTGATGCCCCTACTTAACTTAAAATTTGTAATCTTTGCAATTTGATACCCTGTAATCACAATATTTTCAGCTCTTATGTCTCGATGAACAATCTATGGTATGATAAAAAAAAAAAAAAGAAATATTTTTTTTTGTTTAAATAAAAAAAATCTAAAAAGGAAAAAGGTCGCACATAATAAAATGTATAACATTCGTTACCTTGACGGAATTAAGGAAGTTTAACCCTTTCGCGATATCATACGCAAATCTTAATCTCAGTTTCGGTTCGATATTTTGTCCATGTAAAGAAATATATTCACGTAAATTTTTATGTTCCGCCCATTCGGTTACTAAATAATATTTACGTTTATCATTGGTAAGGCCATTGGAAGTAATACCATAAAAATGAATAATATTTTGACAATCCTTAAGTTGTTTAAAAATCGTGACTTGATTTTTAACTTGATTATAAAGTTTTTCATCAATAGTTTTAAAAGCAAGTTCCTCCATAGTATTGATATTAGTATATTTTCTCAATTTTTCACCTCTGGATTCATCCGTCGCATGATAAACATGGAACGGAAGTAAAGCTTCTTGAAAGATATTATCAATTTTTGTTTGATTTACACCTCTTTTCTCGTTTATCAAACTTTCCATAGTAATTGACATCTCACTAACCATTTCGACAACTGAGTTCATCTTATCATTTGTTTCAGACATTTTTTTATCGACTTGCTTATTAAAATTATTCATACTTTCCGCCAAGGCTTCTTGAAAAATCAAAAGCTCCTTGACATCCTCTCTCACGATCTTTTCTTCCTTCTCGGCATGAAATTGAAACCCAACTGTTAAAGTAAAGTTCAATAGACCAATACTACTATCATACTCTTTACGTAACTCTTCAAATTGTTTCTCGATCATTTTTGCTCCTAAAAATTTTTGCACTTTATTATATTGTGTTATCTCTTCAATGTATTTTTTCATTTTTTGTAGTACATGTACCAATCTTTGCAAACTGGAATAATTCTTTGAGGTAAATAAATCCTCTCTTGTTTGTAAAATGCACACGGCGGAATATGCTGCGGCAATACGTTCCGTCAAAATTTTTGTTATATTCTTATTATGCTGAGCCGTTCTATATAGTTCCGTAACATTATTAAGAATGTCACCTACATCTTTAATAAGCGGAATAAATTGGGTGAAAGGAATAACCGTTGATGATACCAGTTCGATGGTGCTAGTCACTATTTGCATTCCGTTCAATAAAGAATCCGAGTGATCATTTGTCAAATTTGTAACGGTCGGTCTGTCCAAATCATCCATTGTTTGCTTATTTTTTTTAAAAAAAAAGGTTCAAAAAATTCTGGTATTTTGTATATTATGTATATAATAATGAGATGAGAGAAATAAGTTAATGAGAATTTTTCTTTAATACTGTTAATTTTAATTTTTAATTTTTGGAGGGAAAAAAAAAATTCGCAACATTTTATACAACTTTCATTCCTTGTTTGTTATGCAAAATCTGATTGGGCAATCGTCATAAAGGTAACATTTTCTCATTGTCAAACAAAACAAGGATGATGATCAATTGTAAAAAAAAGGAATTCTACTTCCGAAGTTTGGCTCATCCTTTACTTACTGTCCTTCAAAATCGTCGTTTTTAAACCTAACCCCTTGGAAAATTAGTCTTTTTTCTCATCGAATTCATGCACGATTTTTTCATCACACATCTGCGAAAAAACACCTTTCGTATACATTAACGTCAAAGTTTTTTTTTTTTTTTTTTTAAGGATGAACAATAGCGATAAGAAATAAACACTGTGTTATACGTACGTAAGTATTGGCATTTGGCCGTTTGGCCGCGACCAAAATTTTATTTTAAGTTTGGCCGGCCAAAATATATTTCTATATACAATAGCTCACAAAGAAACACAAATATAAAATTTTTGCAAATTGCAAATGCAAAAATTGATGCCTTTGACTTCGGGACGTTCAATATATTGCAAAATTGCAAAAAAATTGATGCTTCCGACGTTCGGTACGTTCAATTTTTTGCAATTTTGCAAATAAACCGCGGCCAAATTTTGGCAAAACCATGTGACATTTGGCCGATTGGCGATTTTGGCCGCGGCCAAATGCCATCATCTGAAAGTTTTTTTTTATGTTTATTATCAGGTGTATGTTACACGAGTATCCAAGTTTGATGATTTCTTTAGAATGAACATTCTACCTCGTTATTACAAAGAATAAAATGTCAAAATAGCAACTTCAACGATGCAAACTACTCCACCTTCCCCAGTCCAATATTACGATTATCCGTTCATTGATAACATTAATAGCATCAGATGACGTTGATTAACAATTGTACTTCGAGGATGGAAATTTCAACCGATGGCTTTCTTTTTGGAGGTATCGGATGATTCATTAAAGGCAAAAGCCGAAAAATTTCATGTTGAATACGTTAGACTTAATTTCTTTACTCGATGAATCTACCAACAAATTTTCCCGCCACAACAGACAGAAGTGTGATTTAAAGCAAGCAATGAAAGACAACCCCTATGGTCTTGTAAAACTGTTTATATCAAATAAACAATTAGATTGATTTTACTGTATATTTTCTTAATAGCCCTATAATTATAACGAATTATTTTTTATAATTTTTTTTTTTTGAAAATTTGATCTAATCGAAAATTTTAAAAATTTTAGGAATTTTGAAAACATATATTCGATCGGTATTAATATGGCTTCGGAGAACAAATCGTTTAAGATAAATTTTGTAATGGAGGAACTATTATACTTTCCGGTTCATAATATATCTAACGCATTTAGATCATCGATTTTTTAGAATATACTGTACTGTTTTTGGAAGTAATAGTTATCGTTATAGAACTTTATAGTTTTAATGAATACATTTTACATGTTATATATAGGTGTTTTATTATTGTTCGCAATTACAAAATATTTGTGTAGGATATTATATTTGCTTGCACTTCGCCAGATATAGGTTAACCTACAACCATTTCTCCTGAACACCGCGTAGAGGTGGCAAGCTTCGTTCAGGTTTAAAAAAATTTGAGCCACAAAGACCCATTTGAGGTGAAAGGAAAGTGCACACGAATATAATAAGGTTATAAAAATATAAACATAAAAAATTTCACCTCAAAAACATCATCGAAATACATGAATACGAAATCAAACATTAAAAATTTAAAAAAAATTTAAACTACAAAATACGGATGAAGTGGGGATTATTTTAAATGCAAAAAGGATTGACAAAATAGCCAACTTCATATAATAGATACGATACGTCGTTGTATCGCAGTCATGCCTATCAAAAGATAAGCACCCTTATCTAAGGGGTAAAGTAAAATTTTTTTTGATTTTTTTATTTTCTAAATTTTTTTGGAGTTTTTTTTTTTTGATTTTTTATTTTATTTTCTTTTTTTAAAAAATTGAAACGAACTTAATTTAATTACGTGTGCCAAACGATAAAGAAGGAGAGGTGACCAGCTAAAATCGAAGGGGAAATGGATAAAAACCATAGTCAACGGCAACATAGATGCCAGGAGGATCAAGATCCATTGGCTGTGGCCATTGAATAGGTGGGGAATATAAGGGTTTCAACATAAATGCCGGGTGGATCAAGATCCATCGGCTCTGGCCACCTAGAAAAACGACGGATTTGAGCAATAGGGCGAGGTAGGTACTGAAGCTACAGCTGTAATAGTAACGGGAGGGGGAGGGGGAGGAACTGAAATGAGGGGAGGGGGAGGGACTGAAACAAGGGGAGGGGAAGGAATTAAAACAATAGGAAGGGGAGATAAAGAAGTTACAGCTGTAGAAATGGGAACAGAAGAAGTTAAAGTTGTAGAAGAAGAGGAAATAAAGAAGGTACAGCTGTTGAAATAGGAGCAAGGAAAGGAGTAAGGGAGTTAAGGGTATATGTAGAAGGAAGTCGTGGCACATGTCTATGCGCTTGTCTTATTTGTCTAGATTCTTATGACATTTTTTATAAAAAATTCCTAAAAGTAATTTTTAACCATTTTATTTAAATATTTTGAGCTTTCTTTCAACCTTTAAATCTTTTAAAAGTTCTCTTTTTCAAAAAAAAAAAAAAAAAAAAAAAAAATACATACCAAAAATGAAAATTTTTTGGAATAAAGGTACAAACGAGATTTAGAGATGCATTTTATAATTTTTTCAAGATGGATGACTAATAAACAAAAGAATGACCAATGAATGAACATAATGATCAAAAATAAACGAGATGTTTAATAAATGAAAAAGGATTTGTTTTAAATGATATAATCATGTCATAAAAATAAACACAGTTTGCGTTATCAAATGTAAAAATGATAATATCCAGTTGATCGATATATAAACTTAACTATGATGATAGAAGTCTTTTTTAAAGAAATGCTAAAAATGCTAAAAATGCTGCATTTTTTTTTTTTTTTTTTTTTTTTTTAAGATGCTGGCAAAAATTATCTTATTTTAAAGAATTAAATTTTTAAAAAATGCTATGACAGTAAGTATTTATTTTATCATTATTCTTTTATTTTTTTCTTTTTAACTTGATATTTATTGATTTTTTTTTTTTTTTAAAGAAAGCAAATTTTAAATAACTTTAATAGTATTTTTAAATTATTTAAAAAATTTTTTGAGAAATTTTTTTTTTTAATAAAAATTATAACTTCCTATATTTAATTTGAAATTAGTTATAGATAATATTTTCACTTTCTTAATAAAATCGTCTTTAATTAAAGATAGTATTTTTAAAACTAATGATCAATTTGACCTATAACTAATGTTCAATAAGTAGCCAGTCAAATAGCATAAATTTCTAGTAAACATATGCAGTCTGCATCTATTATTATTACACATATGTTTAAAAACATCCCTAATATTTCTTGTAGCATTAAACATCTCTAATAAAGAGTTAGATCATTCAAGTTTCAAAACCTTTAAAGCAAATTAACCTTTATATTGCCAATTATCACAACTTGTTATAAATATGTTAGAGCAATTTTGCAAATTAAATAAATTATATTCAATAAAATATTTTTAAAAAATATTAAATACGTACTTGTGAGATTCAAAATTTAGAAAAACCTAATGCAGCAACATCTTTTAAGTTCTATAAAGAGTTATTTTAGCCTTTATAAAAAAAGTAGAAAAGCTACTTGATATATAAACAATGATAACTGAATTATTATAAAGATCTTTTTTATTGTAACAATTTTTTGACATTTAATTGATAATGCTTTTTACTTTATAATATATTATCAAACTTAATCTTTTGAAATATTTTAGCATTAAAAGTATGAAATAAACTTAGCTTTGATAATATTTTGAATATCATGTACCTAATATAAAATAACTGATAAATTAATATACTCAAAAACAATAAATAATAAATAATTAATAAATATTGTACTTTTTTTAACCACATTTTTGTTTACAATACTTTCGTATATCATATCATAATATTTTTTCATATAATCTTTTATTATTATAAATAGTTGTACATAGATTTTTCCTATTTAAATCAAGTTCAATAACTGTTTTTTTCATAAGTAATTATCTGAGCCTAATTACTACTTACTATTATATTAGTAAAGCAAAATTGGGGTTTTAGAGTCAAAATTGAAAAAAGATATCCAGAAAGATCCCAATCATAGGCCAGAAGCCCTTCTAGCTATATGAATCCATAATATAGAATTCA